TAATACGATCAACGACAGCTTTTGATAAGTCATCAGAACGATCTTTAGCTAATTCCAAAATAGATTCTTTAAATTTGAGTGTAGAAACTTTGTAAATTTTTTTTCGAAGAGTCTGCGGTTTCTTTTCTCAGCCTGTTCGTCTGCCTCATCGCCACAAAATAAGCAGTTTCCTTTAAAACTAAAGCTGGATTCACTTACTCGTGCTCTAGTACGAGGTGGACTTACTTTTGAAGTACTGGCCTGTTCACCTTCACGTTTTTTTGCTGTGGCAATTGAAGTTTTCCGGGTGTATGATTTTCGGCAATCCTCGTGGATTGTAACGGACTTTAGACCTTTTAAATATTTGGTAAACTCATCACTTCTTGCGTCACTTGCATCGATTAAAGTTTGCATTCCACGATTAACCACAACAGTTTCACCTTCAGTTAAAAGCTTAGAGCAAATAAAGCAAAATTGCGATATTTTTTTTCCAAATATTAATCACTAAAAACTCTTATAGTAGACGCTTGTAATGAAAACGTATATTCATTCGAACAGAACGTTTAACACTAAAAGAAGCAGGCACATGAACGACGCCATATGGACAGTAGAATAGGTAGCCAAATGTTATATTCAAGGCCATACGGGTAGAGGGGATTTTCGAAGGAACTGACGGTCCCTTCGAAAATCCATAAAAGAGACACAAACAGACATTTTTACTTGCTTAAGTAGCTGAATGTGAATATACGTGGCTAATGTGTAAATATTACATAGAACGTGACTTTTACAATTGCGATATCTCAGGAACGGTGATACTTACAGAAAAAAATCATAGGAAACATTTTTGTAGAGCATTTTGAGATCTACAACTTTGGCCTGAAATATTTTTTTGATGAAACTTACGGTTTTCGAGAAAAACTCAAAAAACCTGAAAACTTTTGAAGCGCTCGTGAGACAGATTGGTGTTTTCAAATTTTAATTTTTTATGGTAAAATAAAGGTCTTCACCAACATTCAGCTCTGTCGCAATTTCCGTTATTTCATTACTGTTTTCAGGTCTAAATTGACCGGACTATTTGGATGACGCGGCGATAAAACAGAAAGAAACTGTTCAGTAGTAGGTATCAAATGTTATGAAAGCTTTTCACAGCAGTAATTAAAACGCATAGTATCAATAAAACTGATAACAATTTGTACTATATATGAAACTTCAACAAAAATAATAATAAAAATGATGATAAAGAACAAACAATGAAATTAATTCCTTCAGAGAAGGTGTTCGGAATATCTACCAGCTTCTCCTACACACAGGCGTCACCTTTTCTGAACGTTTCTTTGCCGTGAGGAGTGAGAGAAGCAAAACTTTGGCGTCACTGCCGCTTCCAATTCATATCTAGAATTGGTCGGCAATTGAAAAATAGGATCTTTCAACCTTCCCCAGAGGTAAAACTCCAAAGCTGTTAGGTCCGGTGACTTGGCTGGCCTACAGTTGGGTCCTTGGTTGGCTATCCAATTATTACCCAAATTTGCAGCCAAAAAATTGGTGAAAATTGCAGCGTTGTGAGGAGGAGATTCGTCTTGTTGAAAATATATGTTTCTGAGCTCCATTAGTAGCAATTTATCAACAAGGGGTTCAATATTGTGCCATAGAATTTCTAAATACCTCTGAGATGTGAGAGTGCCATTATAAATGAACGGGTTGATAATTCTACCATTGAAAACACCCGCCCACACACTAAATCCTAATCTTCCTTGACTTCTCTGCTCCACAATAAAATGAGGCTGGTTTTGTGCCCAAGTATGAGAATTATTGTAGCGGTTGAAAATGCTAACATTACTCACATAAGCTTCGTCTGTCCAATTACAGTTCAACGAAAAATCACGCACTTGGTTACTTTCCAGGAACCACTGGCAAAGAGCCACGCGGCGTTCGAAATCTCCTGGTCTGAGTTGATGAACTTTTCTGTTCCTGTGTGGCTTGAATTTGTGTTTTTCCAAAATTTTCCTAACGTTAGTTCTTGGTACAAATTGCTTGCTGCTTCTGCATATTCCTCGGTTTGTATAAACAGACTATCATATACTATTTTTCATAATTCTCGTACTTCATTGCGAATGTGTTTGAAAATTGAACAAAAATCACTAACTGAAGAGCGTCGTTACTGCTTAAATCAAAATTTGACAGCTACCAGTGATCAAAGTGTGCGTTTCAAAGTCTACATGAAAAAACCTGAAATCTCTGTATTTCAAAGATGGCTCCAGCAAAACGTATTAAAGTGCTTCAGAAATGTTCCCACAGAAACAAGGAATTTTTTTATAGGAAAAAAGTTACAGAACTTTTCAAAAATGCACATTTTCGAAAACGTGCTCTTACTCAGAAACGATGATAGATATCGATATGCGGTTTTCACCATTAAGTTTTCCATAAAATTTGACTCTCAGATACAGCCATCAGTTTGCATCTATCTAGTTTGAAAACAGGAGTTTCATTTCAAAAGTGTCCAATTTGGCCCACTCTAAAAAACTGTGAAACTGCTTTCCGAAGATGTTCGATGCAAGAAAAGGTCAGAAAATAGCTTAATATGATTACAAGAATACATAAGTGATTTTTCTTTTGTAATTTTGCTAATCCTAGTGAGTAAACAATTAGCGCCATTCGCATAAAAAAACTTGCTCCTTAAGGCCGGGACACACCTGTCATACACCCTTCAGATCCGACTCCCATCATACAGTCGGACGAGTGTCTGAGAGGGAAATCGTACTTTAGTCCAAATAGAGTAGTTCACATCGTTCCGATACGTGGCCAACCCCGCTCCCACCCGACTCCGTTTCTGTATCCGATCATGATCCGATCGTGCACTCTATTTGTTCTCCAGCTGCGGGACGCGTATCGCTTTGAGTTTGTATGATATTTGAGGTTTTTTAAATTAAATTTAAAAAATGTCATTAACAAGTCAGAAAATATCCAGTTCTGTATAACCAGACTAAAGAGCTGTACCGCTGTTCTCTATGAGAGCTCTCCGATTTTATTCATCTTCTTTCATCTTTCTTTTGGAACAAAATCAAACCGGAGTCGGATAGGAGAGGTGTATGAAGAAGTGTGCCTCGGCGTTTATAATGGTAATAATATTCCCAATGGGTATCGTGAAGAACCCAAAGAAATAATAACATTCCTTTGAATTTTCAGTTTCAAATTTATCTATACTTATAAATGGGAAAGTCACTCACTTAACATATCTGTTCTTCCGTACTGGTAAGTCCTAGGAAACTATGTTTCGTATCTAGGTGCTTCTTAGGTCTTAGATGCTTACTAAAAAAGTATTTTCAAATATCCCAACTGGGCTTTTCCCTGAGGAAATAATGTGCGCCTTCACATATGAAAATTAACTTTTCATCACCGCCATATTTTCGGAGGCTGAAATTTTGTATGTAGGTTCATTTTATGTTGTAGATGTGCAATAAGGACATATTTTCAAATATCCCAACTGGGGCGCCCAAACTGGGGATAAAAGGGGAGCGTTTACAAATGAAAATTACCTATTCATCACTGTTTCTCTCTACCGTTATATTTTCGAAAGCTGAAATTTTGTATGAGGTTCGTTTTATCTTCTAGATGTGCAATAAAAAATGGTTTTTTTAATATTCAAGCTGGGGTGCCAGCTGCGGGGAAAAGAGGCGCGTTCATGAAATAAACTTACTTTTTCATTACTGTTTCTCCGTACCAATATACTTTCGGAGGCTGACATTTTTTGTGTAGGTTCGTTTTATATAGTTCGTAGACGTGCAATAAGAAAAGAAATTATATTTAGTATCAGCATTGCACCCGTGCGATGCCGAGGCGGTCACTAATTTGTATGTATGAGTAATAATGCCCAGGTTAAGTTATGTATACAAATGGATATTTCACCTATATTTTACTAATTATCTATCTTATATTGACTTCTTAACATTAGTTGACATTTTTTTAATAAATCTTCCAAATAACTTTAAACTTTCGTAAATACACTTAGTTGTCGTGCTCATTCTGCAGATGTAATAATGATATTTTTTTGTTCAAATATCTTTTTTAAGATAATATTTTGAAATTATTTGTTTCTTCCTTCCTCTCTTTCCCAAAAATAGTATTTTTGCTCTCCAATTTTTGAGTGAGAATTTCATGAATGAGGTCAGTATGGAATTTCGAAAACTACAAAGTGTGTCAGGGTTATATATACCCCTCTGTATAGGCTGGGTGATGAGAATAAAGTGGATACCAATGAGATTTATATTGAAAAATTGTCTGCCAATAAGGAATACCTCAGAAATGTGTGCAGTTTCGTTTTATTTAAGACATACTGTTTACTACATAAATATATTGGGAATTGGATATTGCCCAACTTCATATTCAATTCCTTCGTAGGTATATACCTACATCCTGTCTACAATACAAATGTTAATAAAAGTGAAGAGACTCATTTCCTATACGATTTAATAATACATCCAAAACTAATATACCTATATATATAAGCAGGTAGCTATATCTCTTCCGCACCATACATAACGTCATTCCATCAAAAATTGTCTTATGGAAAAAACAAATTATAATTTTTGATAGGCTCAACTCACTATTGATCAAATGGTTTATATTATAATTCACGCATGAATCGTATGCACTACACGTGGAAATCGCCCAACTGTAGAGTTGAAAAAATGATAGCAAGTATGCAATTACAACAATTCTGTCTTCTCATTTATTTATCTTGCTCTTTTTTCGTTTTCTGACGCCATTCCGAGACAAACTATTTTCAATTCAAGATGCGTATGCGAGTGTGTAAGGCTTTAAATATCAATCTATGAGCACGTGGAAGAGATGACTGCAAGCCATCACCACTTCCTTCAATTATCCACCTTATCTATTGAAGAAATAAGCGCGACTTTAGCGTTCAAGTCTGTTCTTCGGGGTACTCTAATGACTAATAAATTATGTACACACTTGTTTTAAGTCCCATAGGCCTCTTGACACTTATAGTGCATTAACACGACTGTTTTTATTCATTTTTTCATTCCAGTATCATTTTGTATCGCCAGTTTGTCGTCGAACTTCAAATGGGGTGCTATGGAACAAATAGATAATAGCACGTTTCATGTGTTTTTGAATGAAAGTAGCGTGAATGACTCTGATATTTTCCAAGAACCGGGCCCGATTTTGGAAGATTGGGTTATAAATTTGTATTTTGGGTTCATTTGTTTGGGATGCATAGCCGACTTGTTTTATATTTTGGCGCTGATGCGATGCAAAAGAAATGGTAAGTTTGAACTGATTTCAAGTAAGTTGAATTATATTCGAAGTTTAGTATAAGATAGTAAGATAAAAATATCTTACAAATGTTGACAATATAATAAAAGTAGATAGGTGGGAACATATTTAATAAAAAGTTGTCGCAATTGCGAACCCCAATAATGTGAATATGACCAGGATTGCTACACAGAAAAAAAATCAAGTCAAAAATCGATTTTTACAGAAACGTACCTACTCTATGAATTTTGTTTTAGACATTTCACTTGATTTCAAAATATTCGAAAGGAAAGCAGTATTTTCCATTTTTTATTATTTCTTGGAAGAATTGAATTGTGGAAAAAACATATTTTCGTACGACGTTTGAAAATAAAGAAAATTGATGGGAAAATAGTTCAATTCGTTTGCAATTTTTGATGACTTCGGTCGTTTCATGAATAACGAAGAAAAAAAAAATCGGTGTTTTTCTATATACTTATTGTACTTACTATTGAAGTTATGAAAAATTGTATAAACTCGTTTGTTAATTTTCTTATGGAAACAAAAATGGATGGACATATTGTTTGGGTATTTGCAGTCGTTCAATAGAAATTCGTTTCTTTCATAAACAATATTAGGTATATGAATGAATGATTGGATATTTTCACAAGCTTTTATTTTGTGAATTAGCTTTTTTGAACAGGTATCATCAATGGATTGAGCTGAACTTTTACATACCATACACATTTATATGGTTTCTAGGCGACACCATTTTACATCTAACACGGCAGACATTAATAATAATAATAATCGACTTTATTGTATTTACATAACATTAATTGAAGGTAACCTTATGACGAATGGGCGAAGTGTCAGCTAAATATGGTTTTCAACTCTACCCCTGATAATCTTATCAAAATTTAATCAATTCTACTAGGTAACAAAAAAAACCCGAATACACTTGAAAAAGTATTCTCACACTGTGCCAGAGCTGTGAGGCAATGGCTTAACGAACATTTTCCAAACCGATGTATAGGCCGTGGTAGTCCGTTTATAGAGTGGCCACCCAGATCTCCAGACCTCACAGTTTTGGACTTTTTTCTCTGGTATGTTTGAGGTTACTTTTGACTGAATGAATGAAGTTACATAATTTAAGTTTATGTTTTATGTAAGGATGATATATCTGATGTTTTTTTTTTGGTTTATTATACAAGCAGAATGTAGGTTTCTTGTAATTTGAATTGATAATACACTTCATAATTTTGTTTCGAAGTGTTTCAATTGTTTTCAATGAGGAATTTTTTTACCATACTCCATACTGATATTAAATATCGAATTTATAAATATAGGTACTAATGAAAAATAAATCAATTTACGATACTCTAATGGTACAAAATTTCTTATTTCAGTTACCATTCCAATCCATCCCCTTCTTATTGTTTTCTCTATGATGAATTCTCATTTAGAATGAGATCAATCAATTTCGGGAATTTCTGAGAATTAAGTGACATTTTGACATTGAAGACAATGTTATTTGATCAAGGTCTTACTTGTACACTAGTTCCATTGTTGATCAAAGTGGTGTCATCACCAAACGTTTGTAATTTACCATATAAATATTCTGTAGCCAAATAATTGAAATATATAAAAAACTAAACAGATCTCAGATGATGTGGTGCTGCAGGTTTTTCCGGGTTTTCCTGCAGCTGAAAAAGCAAACTAGCCACTGGAATCAATGAAGTCGCTTCGTAGCGCCATTTAATTTTTGTTGTTGTTTCATAATTTCATGATTTATATTACTTTCTTCTTTACTCCACATATTATTTTTCAACTAAATAGATTGCCCATATAAACATGTATTTCTTCCTATTCAATGAATAACTTTGAAACCAATTGTAAACTAATGCTCGGATACATTATTTTCAGAAGAATTTTATGATCAATGAAAGAACTACACATTTTTTGTCCGTGTCGCTATTTTTTGAAATCCATATTGCCCATCATATAGATATTTTGTCTTTTCAAGATATTCAAACACATTCTAGAATGTGGTGATTTCTCAATAATTTTAGATAAATTTGGTGAAATTAAATTGGTCTATAATTCGTTAATTGGTCTTTTCTACCTGTTATTGGAGTTTTTTCCCAACACCAAACCGTTATTTTAACACCTCGACACGTGTTTCGATCACCAAGTGATCATCTTCAAGAGGAAGATCAGTTTGATCAAAAAGATCAAACTGATCGAAACACGTGTCGAGGTGTTAAAATAAAGGTTTGGTGTTGGGAAAAAGCTCTAGTAATATTCATTACTACACCAAAGGTTCCAAACAGTGCATCACAAGTACTTTTCTACCTACTTCGAATAAATGACAATTTTCCTATTATAAGGTAGGTACACCAACGCTGTTGAAAAAGAAATCCTGGAATACAGGGTTGTAGTGACCAATGATAAGTTAATGAGTTCGTCATGATTATTGTGCTTTATTGTAATTCAAACTTTGGCCAAAGATTAAACATCAACTTTTTGAATTCTCCATTCTTATATTCAAATTTGTACAAACGTTACTCAAACTTTTTGGTTGAAATTCATAACTTAACAAACAAAGTTTTGTTTTACTGTTGAAAAATAGTTATGGTTGTTACCAAAATATATACTGAAAAAAAAACATAAATTATAATTATCACACCTAAAAAAATTTTTTTTTTTCAGGTACCCTATCACTAGTTTTGCAAATTTCCACAATAGACGCTTTCACTCCATTCGTAGCAGCCACCGAAATACTAACTACCAATAATAAGACATGGATATTTTCACAGGACTTATGTCCTTTATACAACGGAACAGAGATTCTTATAAACTCCTTGACTTTATGGTTGATAATTTGTTTTAATTTTCACGTAATTTCTTTATGGAATATGTACAGACATGACTCCATAAAAAAGAATAAGAATCCTTTGACATCCTGTGGAGATGATTCTGATGAATGTTTGGTTACTAAACGAGAAAACGCAAATAGAGTTCTCAATATCGATTACCGCAGGAGAAAAAATGATGTATCTGTCATAATACCCACTATAATGGTTTGGTTTTTCTGTGTGTCTCTCAGTATACCAAACTTTACACTATCATCCACACTCAGAATGAAACGGAAGTACACAATTTGTGCAATAATTGATAACTTTTACGGACACATATTACAGGTTTTGTTACTTGTTTTCAGAGTGCTGTTACCAATCCCTTTATTGTTATTCTCATTAATTATTTCTGCCATAAAGTTAACGAGAACCTCATTAAAAGACATTGATACTATTTTAACTAGTGATTTTGTGAAAATACGGGGTCTGTTGATATTTTGTATTGCTTTATCAATTCTCTATCTCACGACTTCGTTTCAAAGAAATGTGTTTCACTTCATGCACATAAATTCTCATAGTTTCAGTGATAATACATCTGAAATATTCAAAGTTCCACCACTTTATAATAATCAGTTAAGTACATCTAATAATATAAGTCTAACAATGTTACATTATAGTTGTAATACCTTCAGAGCTTTATTATGTTTCTTCCTGTTACCAAAGTTTAGAGATTTAGTGAAAAGTAAGATTTTTGTTTGTTGTAAAACTGAAAATTAAATAACTGTGACTTGATGTACGATATTTACGTAGTTCATAAAAATATATTGTTTTGTTAATATTGTTTGGCAAGAAAGGTTGATAAATAGGCGAGTTCCACAATGTTGTGAACACTGAATTGATGTTTGTTTCAAACACAAAAAATACAAATAATTTTGATGTTTTACTATTGGTTATTTGAATAGGAAAAAATTACAGACAAGGTATTTTTTATTGAACTTTTATAATTTCTTGAAGACTGTGAGTAAATTGTTATCATTAAATATTATCAGTGGTTATATCCCGAGTGCACAAGTTTAATCAGTTAAAATGCACAAGTCCATAATTTTTTAAATTTTGTCAATCAAATGATTTGAGTGTATAATAATTTGATAAAATACCGAGACCGTAAGTCGAGAGATTTCATCTCAGATTATTATACACGAAAGCTTTTGCTTAACAGCAAAATTTTAAAAATTGTGGGATTGCACGCATTTTGATCGATTGAGCTTGGTGTACAAGGAATATATGTTGAGATTATTTCTAGAGAAAGAAAAAATAAAATGAAACGTTCTTTCAAAATCGAAAACAGAAAATACAATTTGAATATATTTAGTTGCATCAGAACAAATAATAGGAAAAATTACAATTTTTTGTAGATAATTGGTGTTTGATTTTCTTGATTTCCCACTTTATAATCATTTCTTTTATCAATATGCAATGTCGGTTCTGAATTTATTCTGGAGTTACTGCATTGTTCTATATGATTTTCAGTGAATCATAGACTATTGATGATATCTAGATGGTGTTCAGCATCCATTTGTAGGTATGGTTTTATTGAACTACTACTTCCGTGACCCGTGATTTTAATTAGCTGCTGCTCTTGTATATTCTTTTTCATCAAATGACTCACAGTAGTAGATCTAATAGAGTGGTTAGTTACTTTATTTTTTGGCAACTTCTTTTGTCCATTTTTAGAGTCCATTTCTACCAATGGGTGAATTTTTGTTCTAGGAGGATGAGCTCATAAGTCAGGATTATTTTTATTTGGATGTTTTTCAATCTGACAAAAAAAAAGGAAAAGTTTTTGCCTAAACTCTGTAGATTGTGCTTTTTCAATTCGGTTAAAGATGTTTTCAATTCTGGACACCTAAACATTACAACTTATTTTCTACAGCTCTAACAGCTACGCTATAAAAGTGACTACAGAAATGGGTGCAAAATACAGAAACAAATAGTGTGTAATAGTAAAACTAGCCGAAATCATCCACTAGTAAATATTGATTATTTGTAATTACCTGTTACCTGTAATTACCTTCTTTGAAGAAACAGATAATATCTGTTTCTTCAAAGAAGTAATAAAACTGAACATTTCACAACCTCGTCTCCTCTCCATGCTAACTCCAATGGAATTATGCAAAAAAGTTTTTTCTGCAATCCTGCTGGTTCATTCCCATTCCATTGGAGAATCATTTTTCTATAATTATCCATATTCATAGCCACCAAACTAATTCTTCTTTCATTTGGATGATCCAAATTGGATCCTTCTGCAATTCTCTTCGTTTGACATTACAATCATCTTTAACCGACTTGAAGATAATTTTTTAAAATGGGTCAAAAATTATTTTATAGTTTGAAGTATATTTCTTCTATTTTTTGCAGTTATGTTCTAAAGAGTCTTGATGAAATTTTCTCTGTAATCTTTGAGTATCAAACCAATATTCTCCATAGATGTATTAGATTTCATTTCATAACCCATTTCCTTACAAAATATTATGAATCGTTTGCAGATTAATTTATGAGTTTTCATTGTATTAACTAGAATACTATTTAGAATTGTTTCAGGTACTTTTTGTAGAAAAACACTGTTTACTCAGTTTTTTCAGAATCAGTTGTTAGGTACTAACTCGAAAATATTGTGTTGGCAGCTGGCGTAATGAACATTGATCTCTAGATACCTAATGTGCCTTTTACCTAATTGTGTTATTTTAACCAGTTAAACAGGTATAGTGCAAATAATCTCTGTAAAACTCCGTAAAAGCTGCCTAGTCATCAACCTTTCCATCGTTTTTATGTATTGAAGGAATTAATCATTATAATCAAGTTTTTCATTTTCATAAACTGTTCTTTGAATAGTCATGACACGTAAAATTTGAAAGTACATAACAATATTGACCCGTCTTTTTTATTCAATAAAATGTTTCTGGAGAGTTCATTATATTTAAAAAAGTAAACACTAAAACCAAAAATTTCACAGAAAATTTTCAGAAGTCTTGATGTAATGACTACCATTAAAAGTCTGTTTAGTTTAAGAAGCAGCAATCACTGTCATCGAGATTTCCCAGAAAGCTATCAAGCACATTTGTGGACAACTATAACCTCTTCAGAACTGACATGTTGTTCCAGTTAGGTACGATTTTAAGATTATTAGTCATTTGGAAGTATCCATGATGATAAAAATTTTTCACATAACAATTTTACTAAAGGGGCATTTTGGTACACAATATAACTTTCTCAGTTGGCACACCAATGCAAAAGAGCTTATAGGTCACAGAACAGAAGGGCCGCAAAATAGTTTGACATGCAGAACATTTTACTGTATTAATTTTAATTGTTCACTGTATAATTACTTTACAATGTGCACCTTTCCTTTGGTACTATGAAAACAAAATGTAAGACCAATGTCAAAAAAAATTGAATTTCAAAAGATTTGCACTTAGTTTTATAATAAGGTTCATAGCTAGAAATTTTATCAGTTTTACTTTTGGTGTGTTATGGTTTTTATAATGTTATTTGAAAGGTGGTTCAATGGTTCAAGTATGTTATGAATATTTAATTTTTTATCAAAACAAAAAAGGAAGTACTTACCATATCAAAGATGTGACTGGAGTAGTGTGAGTAATTGACACTAGCTGATTTATTGAAATCTTTTGATTTGTCTGGGACAATAATGGAATTTTCCTAGATACTACCACCTGATTAGAAAATATTTTCACAAACAGTACTGATACAGTACTAGATTTACTATGTAGTTGAAATATTATGGTATACACGGGATTTCTCTTCAGTCTTACCTGAATGGTAGATCGCAATCTGCATTATCACGGGGAGTTAAATCAGATTTTAAAACTGTCAAAAATGGTGTACCGCAGGGTCCTGTTTTGGGGCAAATCTTTTCATTTCAAATATAAATGTCTTATGCTATTATATATTTCTAAAAAATTCATTCCTTTTGCAAATGATACAACTTTTGGTGACTATCACATGAATGACTTGATTGTTTCTGTAAAAAATATGTCTTTCCGTTAATCAGCTGTCGCCCCCATACGAACGACAACTTTCAGAAGTTGAGAAACTTGTGCGAGCTAAGGACTAACGAGGTCTTACCTTTTAACGTGTGATTCCTAACACTAATGTCACTATGAAGTCTACTAATGACTGGTTTTCCTAATAAGACTTCTCAATATAGAAAGAAATCAAAATCTTACAATTTTCAGTAACATAAACATAAGTTTGAAGGTGATTGACAATGTTTCGTGATGAATTTCACTAGTTCGGACTTCCANGATTATGAAATACATTTGATATAACCACTTTATATTTATGAGTATCTTAGAAGTTTATGTTGAAAAAATTTGTAAAACTCTGTGAAAAAGTAGGTTTTTTATAATATTACATAATATAATGTTATACATCCTGCGCCCCATTTATTACAGAGATAAAATTCAGTGGAAAATACTTTTCTGAATGTGAATTAATTACCTTATAAAACTGTTGTGTCTTCTCTGGTAACTTTCTTGCATGTCTTAAAATCTTCTGTATATCAGATTGCAAACCTGCTTGTCTTATCCAAACAACCCCATTCTGAGAATAACTTCTTTTCTCGGTGGGTTTTACCGGGAAACCTCCTACTTGATCAGCAGAATAAAAATCAGAAGAACCCAAGTTGTTCAAATCGCCAAGCCAAGGTACCGCATCTGACCCAGGTGTCAATACAGTCATCATCAAATTTGATTTTTTTTTTGAGTCAGCCCAGGAGTATACGAAACCAAACCAGTTTTCTCCAATAGTCACTAGAGCGGCCATGTTTTCCACCCTCAGAGCTCCATGGAGAAGAACGCAGAAAGAGGGTGTTTTTCCCTCATCTGTTGGGTCATCATCTATTACATCAACATCAGATTTATGAGTGCTGTCCTGTTTGCTAGGAGGAGTTGAGGGTAAGATCAAATGTCGACTTACTGCCATTGGAGAGCCAATGTCCCCTACTGATATGAAGCCGCACACTTCGATGAGTTCTGATACATTATAGGTTTGACAATCGAAATCATTAACTTTGGTGTATGACTTGAAAAGAAATTTAAATATCATTAGTCTGGTGATATACTGATTTTATAGTAAATAAAATTGGGGAGAATGAATAGTCACAAAATGTAGATTTTGGGACAATGAATACTGAAATTTCAAATTTTTAGTATTTAGATATATGCGCTTACATGAAATAATCAAGTTGAATTGAGTGTACCTCTTATTCAGCGGTTGTTCAACACGCGCAAAAATTTGCTTATTCATTCCTAATAACTAAGTATTTAACATTTTTAATAATAGTAACGGCTACATCCATCGATTTATTTTTAATAACCTTTAAAATCATATTGAAAATCCCATGATCTAACTAGGTAATTACTTACGACTTGCCGCCTACGACTTTAGACTTTCAAATTAATTAGAAAAATATTACTTCACGTTCACTTCACTCAAAGTTCTTGGCCTTTGCTTCCAGATAGGCGCATTTAGCCAGCTCGATTTGGATGGTTACAGCTTGGTCTGATTGTGAATCATGCTGTAATCCAAGACTTCTGTTTTCTTAATTAGATTTGGTGTTTACTGGTTTATCTCTTCTCGTGCTAGATAAAGGATAAGCGACAGATAGTAATACAAACAAAGGTTAGAACGAAAATAGGAAAAGGAATG